CTACTACTGCTACTACTGCTACAACTGCTGCTGCTGCTGCTACTACTACTGCTACTACTACTACTACTACTACTACTACTACTACTACTATTGGTGGAAGAAGTGGCAGGATCAGCAGTAGTAATTACATTTTTTGTTCCTACTGTGCTACTGAGTCCCCTGTGCTGAGGTGGAGGAGTACTGGCACAACATGAGCTTGGGCTTTGCCGGGCACCTACACTTGCGGCAGGAGGTATGTGCGGCGTTGTTCAGGAAGCAAGACTTGCTATGGCGGCAGCTGTTACCATTAAGCAAGGCGTTTGCGACTTGAGCAACCAAACATTAAGGACACTACGACAGAGCTTCCGCCAGAGCGATGGGACATGGATGCCTACTACGACGCCGATGTCGATGCACCAGGCAAACCGCCCCCCAAACGGTGTAGCTCCTCCTCCTCCTCCTCCTCCTCCTCCTCCGCCTGCTGCTGTGCTGCTACCACGCCCAAAGAAAACAGAGAAAGCCACAAGCAGCGTTGCACAGATTTGAAGAACTAGCAGTTGCATCCTTCAATGTCCACTAAACCTGGGTTTTCACCACGTCGCAGTCCTAGACCGTACGCAGGACTTGCTTTAAAGTACCGCCACCGTGCAAACGACTGAGTTTTTTTGCTGTCAACTGAGGTCCGGATATCTTCAGCTGCAGGGTTGAGACTACAACTACGACTCTTATTTCCTTGGGGTTCGCTGCCAGTGAAACATTTTTTAAGTGAAGGCGTGCACGGGAACACGCCAGCCTGCTACTGCTACCACGACGAAGACGACGAGTACTTCCCTTACTACGACGACGACTGCTATTGCTACTGCTGCTGCTCTTCCCTGCTCAAGACTAAGACTCAAAAAAGCAACAACAGTAGCAAACACAACCACTAGTCGCAAGAGTTTTATAGTCTTGGTAATGTTGTAGGATCATGTGGCCATATTCGTCAGCACAAGAAGAGGACCTCCTCTCCTGAGATCCTGCCCAGGCAAGACATATGTGCGGCTGGGTCACTTCATTCCAGGCCCCCTTAGGGTCTTTTCGGCCTTTAGTGGTAAGGATTTGAGATCAAGGATTCAGGGTTTAGGGTGTAGCGCTTTGCTGTTGGTTCAACAGGGCCAGCTGGAGTTCAGAGAAGACAGGAAGCTTCTCTGAGGCAGTGGCTGCTTCGGTTAGTTGTTTCATTCTTTTGCAATAGCAAATGCGGCTGCGACTGTATGCAACAGCAACTTTCCTCTAGCACTATCGTCGTCGAGCTTGTGTTGTGTCATGTCTACTGCGCAGTATTGCAACCTATTGCCTTGGGCTGGTGGCTGACCTCAAGGCATCGACCAGTTCGATGGGGACTTCTTTGGAGTCTCTGAGGCGGAGCTGCGATCCATGGATCCCCACCAGCGCCTCGGGCGGATAGTACAAACTAGAGTATACAGTATACAGCATCGCCAGAAAATCAACATTTCCGGATACAGACTTCCTTGGCTCGCGTTCCTGCTCATGGGTTAGGGTGTAAAGAAGATACTGGAAAGCTTTTGGAAGCCACGCTGCGCTTTCGATGTTCACCACCTTGTTCTTGCTCTAAGTGCTGAAGTCCGTACAGATGTTCGGTCAACAGAGTGCAGCGACAGGTGTAATGGCCGTGGCACGCACATGCACTGGTAATATCCAGAGACATCGCAGCTGTGTTACCTAATGACACAAGACGCACTAATAATAGCAATCATCTTTCGGAGACAACGATAGCACCCAAAGTCGTCATGCCCTTGTTGAGGTGGCTATCTTTGGAGATCAGCCGCATGGATGTGATTATCTGTTGAAGATCGGTGGTTTCTGACATTAAGGGTAGCTCTTCCGGTTTTGACCCAGCTAGAGGGCTACATGAGCGTCCCTGATTCTGCGAAGCTCACACCCTGCATTTGGACTATCACACCCCCAGGGCCGGTGGCATGTGGATGTGTTGAAAGGTCTCCTCACAAATCTGTTGGTCGATCGACAGATTGTGTGTGCGGCTTGATATACAAAGCAGTCGCGGCACTGCTTTCATTCAAAGACAGACAGACTCAATAGCTGCCCTTCCTACCGTTATACTGCTCAGTCATGCCCGTTCGTGCCCTTTTTGCAGAGAAGGTGCGATTTCAGCACAACATGTCAGCGTGTTGGTCTTTTCCCTCCAGTAAGTCAACTTCAGCTGTGGAGTGCCGGATAAGGCTACGAAGCATTCCATGCAGCGGGCCTCAACAAGGACCCACCATCTCGGACCGCATGTGGCAGTCTTGGGAAAGCTTTTGTTCTGTTGAACTCTTCGGTGCCATCGAGTGAAGTCTCTTTCAAGCGAAGCCGTTTCTTTCGAGAAGAAGGCTTCGACTTTCAACTGGAGCCCATCTCTCGATCCTGTGCAGGAGTCGCTGCAGGGCATGGACTGTGGCGTCTTCGTCGGCTGCTGTAACCTGGGAGGAAACGACGTGGACCCGTACGGGTTGCTTGCCTTCCCTTCGGTCTTGAGAGGAGTTTAATCTAGGGGGCTGAATAATTACCTATAAACTATTTTGGGGGTTCCTTATTAAAAGTATAGCATAATGGGCCCCAAAACCCCATTCTAATTGTTAAGGCCCCTACACCTTAAACCCTTGTAGTAGCCCTTATAGTATCCTTCACGGCACCCTTAAAAGGAACCCCAAAACCCCATTCTAATCATTAAGGCCCCTACACCTTAAGCCCTTCTAGTAGCCCTTACAGTATCCCTTAAGGAACCCTTAAAAGGAACCCCAGAACCCCATTCTAATCATTAAGGCCCCTACCTTCGTTTCGCGAAGCCGAGGCTGGGTCCGTTCTCCAACATCGGCTTCGCCTACTCCGGCCTCTCAGGCGCGCAGATTTTTGGCACAGCTGGACCTCAGTCGCTTTAGGGCTTCGCGTTTAGGGTTTCGGGCTTAGGGCTTAGGGCTTAGGGTTTGGCGTCTGTGCCAGTGTCTGCCCAAACGTAGAGAGGCCGCATCTCGCATGTGCTCTCGTTGCGGGGCCCCTGCTTCACCGTGGACACGGCCTGCTCTTCGACGATCGTCGCTCTGGACTCCAGCTGCCAAGCTGTCAGAATGGGAAGGCCCGGACTGCCCACACGACGTAGCATGATCAGAGTGCGCAAGGGTGCGAAGTTGCTGCGGCAACAGCACCGCTTTAACGATAGATGCTGCTGTTGCAGGGTCACATCGTCAAATCACATGCAACGTTGTGGACGAGAATGAGCATGTCAGAACAACGTAGTGCGCTTGCATTGTAAGGCTTACATGCTATTGCTGTAGCATGACTGTCGGACAGAACTCATTTCTCAGGATAGCAAAGCTCACGTCTGAGGACCCGGGGGTATCTGGTTGTACGTGTAGTGAATGCACATATGAAGCGATCAAACAACAATGAACGTACGAATGCAGAAATCGATCAGCAGTCTGCAGTATGCTTTTTTCTGCATGGCAGCATAGCTGAACACTAACACAGTAGTGCGGTATCACAATAGGCAGACAAATTATATGGGCAAGAGCCTAATAGACATACACTGCTTCAAACATGAACTCACAGAGCCAATCAACCTCTAGACAACCAGATCAGAGTCTTCGACTATCAGCATAGCAGTAGCCACCACATGAAACATCACGCAAGAGGCAGGAGCACTACAGACATGCAAGAGCTTCATGATTAAACCCTAAGCCCCTAAACCCTAAACCCTCAACCCTGAACTCTTCACCCTGAACCCTAAACCCTAAACCCTAAAACCTAAACCCTGAACCCTAAACCCTAAACCCTGGATGATCTTGGATGTTACTGGGCTGTGCTATGCTCGGCCAGGTGCCAGAGTGCTGTGGCAACCGGTGCCAACGTCCAGCTGTCTGGCTGCATCTGGGCGCCTCGGCGAAGAGCCAGTGGTTTTCGTTTAGGGTTTAGGGTTTAGGGGTTTAGGGTTTAGGGTTTAGGGTTTAGGGTTAGGATTTTGGGGTTCAGGCTTCAGTGGGCTTGGGCTCGCAGAAGGAAGCGGATCTGTATGACTTATGGCTTAATTTCACGAAAGCTCCGAGGTGGGTTTCTCGAAGATGCGTGGTTTGGCCTTCGACGGCCGCTGCAAGACCTTCGACTCGCGGGCAGACGGCTTCGCACGGGGTGAAGGTCTCGGCTCTGCCTTCATCCGTGGCGGCGAGAATGCGGAGGTTTCCGAAAATAAGGGGTACCTTATTTTGTGGTCCTTATAATAAGGATCCTATTATTTAGGGTACCATATTAGGGTCCCCTATTTTCGGGACCCCCCATGCGGAGGTGAGCAACTTGGTTGGCCTCAGTGGAGTTGCAATCAACCACGACGGACGCGCGGCGACCATCACCGCGCCCAACGGAACTGCACAGCAGCGTGTGCTGCGGGCGGCGTTGGCGGACCGCGGCACCCAAGGCGAAGATGTAACCTGCATCGAATGCCATGGCACAGGAACGGCACTGGGCGATCCCATTGAGGTGGGAGCGCAGAAGGCTGTTTATGGAAAGGGTCGTACCGAGTCCCAGCCGCTGATTCTCGCAGCTACGAAGTCCAACATCGGCCATTTGGAAGGCTGGCAGAGGGAGCCACACACTAATAAAGGGGTTGGCTATGATGTTAAGTGTATGTACATATATCATATATATATATAT